CAATCCACCGTCAGGAAGCCCATTCGGGCAGGCTGTCCAGGCACTTACGGCCCGACAAAGAAAACCGAGAAGCAACGAGGGTTTTGGGTTTAGGGTTATTACACGGATTCCTATGAGAGTTACTGCAGGAGCAACTAGACTGGAAACCAAAATCAGGCCACGATAAGCATAAGGGTACCATTCGGGGTCCAATCTAGCTTACTGCAAGGCAAGTGGATTGCTGAGGGTTTTTCAGGGCTGAGGCTTTTAGGATTTAGATTTAAAGCTTGGGCTTAGGGCTTAAGACTTTGTTCTGGCTTTTGGGGCCCCAAACCCAGAATCCTGAAACCCTCACACCGTGCACTTCCATGCAGATCCTGGGGCGCTATAACCCAGAACCACTTAGTACGTAGGCCCTAAACCCTAAACCCTAAACCCCAAACCCTGAAGCCTAATAGGACTTCGGAGAGCCCCAAAGCTCTCGAGCCAGGGGACCCGACTCTACTCCCGAAGCCTTAAGCCCAAGGTGTCGGGTTTAGGGTTTAGCCCAAAGCCCCCAGCCCCAAGCCCTAAAAACACGATGCACACCGAGGCCTGTGGCATAAAAGAACCCTCCTGGAACCCTTGTAGGAATACCTTTTCCTTGTAGGAATACCTATTCCTTAAAGGAAGACTTATTCCTTGCAGGAATACTGATCCCTTCTAGGAATACTTATACAAAGTGGCCCCTGTATGAAAGCTTAGAGGGAGGGCTTAAACCCCAGGCCTGCGCCAAGAAAACCCAAGAGGCTCCGAACTGGGGCCCAGGCATAATGAACGAGGTTGATGAGGCCCTCTGGGTAGCCCTGTCCGACTAAACCCTAAACCCCTAAACCCCTAAACCCCTAAACCCCTAAACCCTAAACCCTAAACCCTAAACCGTCTTAGGATTCCTTGAAGTGCTCCATGAGGGTTTTAGGGCTTAGGGCTTCTGGGGTTGTTGAGGCTCAGGGCTTCAGGCTTCAGCGTAGCGGGTTTAGGGTTTAGGCTTTAGGAATGGCGTAGGGCGTAGGGCGAAGCTCTGGAGGAAGGGCCAAGTCTCTGAATATAGGCTTCCTTTGAAGGGATTTAGGGTTTAGGGTTTAGGGTTATATAGCGGCCTGGATAGATAGAACAGGGTTTGGGCATAGTCCAGAAATTGAATAAGGACGACAACGACCGTCTCTTGCTCACCATTCAGACCTCTCTAGTACCCAGAACGCACGCTTATACTCATTATGACAGAACAATTTAAAGCAACAGCAGAGACTCGTAGCAAACAGAGCCCAAACGCAGTATCATGATGCAAGCTAAAACTATGGCGGTGCAAGCTTGTTCGCTGGCGTTCGTTGCATTGGTGCGTTTGTGCTTTGGGGTCGAAAGAAGTCTCAGAGATGAATTCGAGCACCGATCAACGCACGAGCCGAGCCATACATCGAAACCATCTGACGAAAGGGGCTCAGTAGCGTTGTTCAGAAACGCGATATTTATATGTATACATATATATATATATATGTATGTATGTATATTATTAATATATATATCAAGCCTATACCCGTGACCCTACGACCCTGAACCCTAACATCCCCGAACTCTAAACATCTCTAAACTCTAAGTCGAAACCATCTCGACCCAGGCAGTCCACAGCCGCTAAACCTGCTCCCAACAGCCCAGACTCAACCAGGGGCTCTCATGCTTAACGGTTAAGGTTTAGGGGGGTTTAGGGTTTAGGGTTTAGGGTTTAGGGTTTAGGGTTTCGGGTTTGGGTTCAGGGGGCTTAGTTGCGAGCCTTGACAGCACCTACCTTCAGCCAATAGGAGTGTGGCCCGCGGTCGATGTCGTAGAGCCCACCGAGCCTCCAGCGGACTCGCAGATACCCGAAACCAAGGTACATGTGCAGGGGACTAGTTTGTTTTGGAATAACCCTAAACCCTAAACCCTAAACCCTAAACCGATGAGTTTGTTTTGGAATTGGGTTGAGGCTTCCACAATTATGGGTCCAGGGCTTGGTGCAGGGCTTAGGCTTAGGCTTTCAGGACTTTGGATTCAGGAGTGTGGGGTTTTGGGTCTGGGGCTCAGGGCGTAGAGTTCCCGGTGTTATGAAGGTTTGTGCGGCTTGTGGAGTTTGGGCTTGAGCAAATTTTCAATTCTCAGAGATGAGAGGAGGATTTCGAAAAGTGTTCCTGGGGTGGCTCCACAAACGGAGAAGTCTCAGTTCTGAAGTAAGTCATAGTAGATCTCGCGTTGCTCGGTCCTTGCGACGGAGACTAGCCCTCATGCGCAGTGTCTCGACGAATGCGAGCTTGACGGTAGAGGGGTTCTAAGATGTTTACCGATGTTTCAACCACAAGCTTGCAAGGGCATGTGTTGTGTGAGTGTGTACATGTATATATACACAACTAGACACATATATGCATGTTCATGTGTATCTGTGTGTGTGTGTTTGCAATACGTGTGTGCACATATACCGTGGAGGCAGTTCTCGTCGCATAGGTAGCAGCTGTACCACACTGTACAAATTGCAGCATCACGCAGCAAGCTTAGCCAGGCGTCAACCCCGAGGAAACTGCACAGAGCGTCACATAGATGCACCTATAATTGATGTGGACAAACATACAGTCTCGTATAGACCCCACTGTACTCCGTACATGCACGCCACCGTGCGACCCCCACCTACCGGAGCTACCGGTGTGGATACGCTTTGTGCACATGTATATATCTATATTATATACATATACATGTACATTGGTGTATGTCCATGACTACGTGTATGTCTGTCTGTCTCTGTCTCTGTCT